TTAATTAAGTTTGATTGTTCTGACATTTTTCGTTATCGAAAAGAATTTTGGAACTTAGCTTTAACATTAGTTGTTCAAAATTGATAGTTAGAAAGATGGAATTCTGTGATTTACATACGTTTAAATTGTATGTTATTAACAAAGTCTGTGTGTGATTGACTATAAGTACATCCAAAAAAATTTGGACTCAATTTCAGTCAGTAATTTGCAAATGTAGTGCACAAAATTTAATTTTGAATTGTTTTGATACTTCATTGTACACATTCTTGCTCAAAAGTTTTAGGACATTTTTCATTTTTGTTAATCAATATTTATTGTAGATAATAAAACTTTTAGATTGTATGTGTGTTTTATAATACAATTATTTATATATTTATTTGTATCTTTTAATATATATTAATTCCAATTCTAATATATTATATATAGTGTTATAGTATGTATCATATGTATAATATTATATGGTACAATACATACATATTTATGTGTATTATATGACATTGTGTATGTATTGTACTGTAATATTGTATAATATATATTAATATATGTATATAGTGTACATAATGTCCTATTATAATGTTTTAAAATGTATATATACATGCATATATTATATACAATAAATAGATACATTATATATAATGCATATATATGTGTATATATCTGATGTTCATACATATGTATGTGATATATTATTGATACATTATATACAATATTTTATGTACATATACATGATATACAGGGTGGTCACTGAAAGACTGAATAATATAAAACAAGAGTATAAGAACTTATAACTGAAAGATTGAATAATACAAAACAAATATATAACTTTTACAAACATTTGTTTTTTAAATTTTTTATTATTTTATTTGGAACTATAATTCATACATAATTAATCTACAAAAAAAGAAAATAAAAAAGATTGAAAATGAATAAGTTATGACTTTCCCAAACCCTTCAATTTCTCAGTGGCCACCCTGTACATACGTGTGGATATGTTTGATGTTCATATATACATATAATAGTGCATGTAATTCTGATAATATATCACTGATATATGATATACACGTGCGTGTATGTAACTGATGTTCATATATACATACATGTACACGTGAATGTTTGATATATTATTGATGTAAGATATACTCGCGACACACTGCAAACGAGCAAAACGAGAAGAAAAATAGAAATTTTTTACTTTGTACATCGGTCCCCCTGTTCTCATCGAGAAACACGACGCGACAATTTAAGAGATTTTACGGTCGCATGATCAGAGACGCGACCATCTACGCCGGTTTACTTCCCCCCCCCCCCTCTTCGTCTCTCACCCGTTCGTTTTATACTTGAATGCATTGTCCTCTCGTCTAAAATTTAACCCAATTTAAGTTTCGTGTTCCCAGCCAATCACCGCTGTTGACTTAACAATAAACCATTCTGCGCCGGAGAACTAGATGTAACCGCAGATCGAGTTTCCGAGGCGAGTGCTGCAATGCGGTCTACCCCCCGCTGTTCCTTTGCGTACATTTCATCTCGCGATCCGAAGGAAACCCGTGCGTTTGTCGTCCTTCGATCCGGATTTCACTACACTTTTCTTTCTTTCTCTTTCGTTTTGGCTGTTTGTTGTTTTTCCACGAGTGTAAAGCGATTCCTTTGTAAGCGGGATGTAGATCAACAAAAACACAGGGTATTTGCTCGATCGGTAAAGTCGCTTTGTCTCGCAATAAAGAACGAAATTTTTCGAAAACGTACAAGGTCGATTGAGATTTGATTGGAATTTTTGTAAAATGGATATCAACAACAGGATATCTTGAGTGATATAAATAATTGAAAAATACCGTGTATAAAATGAAACATGTGTGTTACATTTTCATTGCAACGTGATATTTTATTAAAATTCAGTCCTATAAATAAAATGAACGTTGACTCAAGAAAAAGTTATATAATAATTGTATTATTATAATTATTATATTCTATTATATGCACAGTAAAAGTTGCACAATATTTTTAACATAATTATTCCATGATCAAACAGTGATTCTAATTAATAGAAAATACTGGTAAATAGTTTTTGCAAATGTTCGAGAATATTCAGAAGCTGTAAATGTTTTCTATTCAAATGAATTGAAAATTATTAATTTTATTTCCCCATGTATTTTAAATAAATGTAACAGTATTTTGTACCTCGAAAATTTTAATGCTTTTAATTCTTTAAATTATCCAATAATAAATAATTTTATGATGAATAATAAAATAATTAGTTTAACTGTTGGAAATTCGAAGAGAATAACAAATTGTAATGTATTGAATTAACGTATCAAAAAGTATATATTTAACGATGAATGCATTCTTAATTTATTATATGAATATACCCATTCATTCAATATTAAACTTTTAAGATTTTTAGTAATTAAACACTCAAAGAGTTAAACTTATGATTAATATTTTTTATTTTTTATTTACAAATTTTTTGAAGTTTCTTTGATCATTTAAATTTGTACGTGAGAGTACAACTTGTTGTTGGAGAAACACTTTCAATGTAAATTAATCTTTTGAGTGTTTAGTCCATAATAAAATATTATAATTAAAAATTATAATCTCATGGTAATAATAATAATAAGTTTAACCCTTTGGATGCTTAATAAGTCTAAAAGATTAATACTGAATGAATTTAATACATAACTAATTAAAAATGCATTTATGTTTTCATATATTTATTTAATACGTTATAGCGTTGTTAAAATAGGCTACATCCTAGAAAATTTAAGCTGCTTTTTCTATCTTTTTCGGCTTGAATCTCAAAGATGAAAGCTCGAATCCATAAACTTGGAAGCACGAGCTGTGTAAATTGTATGCAATGATGATTATAAATAGTATCGTCGGCTGTCACACATGATAGTGGCATATTCGGGGAATTAAGCTTAAGAGCTTTAAGAGTTAAGTCTTAAAGCTTGAGCTTCGTATAACATTAGTTTCAAAAACTGAAAAAGCCTTTAAGATTAAATCTTGAAGTTTGTAACACTTCAAGCTTCATACATTCATTAATATGTTGTCTCTTTGAATCTCCAATAAATAAACTGCGAATTTTTATGAATTTTTCTATTATTACGACTGTAGCTAAAGACTCAAAATAAAATAATTACGACTGTAGCTAAAGACTCAAAATAAAACTCCGTTTCATTCACTAAAACATAAAAAACTACTCCGCATTCTTAATTACTCTATGCATTCTGTAAATAATTGTACCCATAAATTTTCCCCCAATAAAGATCTGCAGTCTACTTATCAGAGATTTTTGTAAAATTTTATGATATATTGAATAAATATATCAAAATTGTTTAATTAAATTCGGCTCATTCGATATTAAACTCTACATTTCTGATAATTTCAAGCACCCAAGGGATTAAAATTGCTATTATCTTTATTTTTATAAGCTTTCAAAGAGTTAAACTCAGGGATGTGATCCCTAAAATAAGAAAAGAAGAACAAAATCTTTCTCGTAAACGTTGTTTCGGAAGTGCAAGCCGATAAAGTTAACGAGAATTCTCGCAGAGCAGCGAGATACGATGTCGACGCTCTCTTCCACGCGATAACATTGATTCCGAGTATCCTGTTCGGCGCGCGATTAATATCTCGAGTCTCTTATTCGTGAGCGCATTGAATTTTCCACGCGTCGTCGAGACGTGCGCCGCGCTTCAAAGAGGAAACACCGACTTTGACTTCGACTTGCGGTGCATTGTTGCATTTACGCGATCGTCCCGCAACTTCGCGTTCACCGTGCTCTCTTTGTAAGTACCTGCGAGGCGAAGGTTCGAGCTCCAGATGCTGGAGATTCCACGGACGATGGTCGAAAAACCGTGTACTCGCTCTAAACTCACCGCCGTAATTAATTAGACGACTCGAACCTTTGTGTCTTAACCGTTTGTATATAACATACAGCTTCCGGCCATTGAATTAAAATTCAACGTCTGACGAATTTTTAGCAAAATTGAGGAGTCTAATTGTAATTTAATAAGAGATTCGATGTATATCAAATACAAGATACATGTACAAAATATATATAGGTATAAGTTAAAAGTACAAGTTAACTTATATATTTTAAAATTAAATAATATATAGTATTAATAATTTATGTTTTCCCCATTTATTTTCATTGAAGCATGTATCATTCTATCTGCCATTATGTTTTCGTATATCTTATTGCACATTTTCATTTCAATTTTTTTGTCATAATACGATGTAAATGACACATGTCTAAAGATTTAAATGAAAACTATTCTTTTAATTATATATCTCTTATAACTGATGCTCATTCATAATATATGTTACATAATTATATTAATAATACTATTATTATCATTATAGTATACTAATATGTATGCATATTGTTGACAAAACTTTTAATTCAATTTTGTTCTTCAAGTTCTTTACTGAAACTTTTAATTCAATTTTGTTTTTTACTGAAAACATGTAGAACATGAAAATTTTAATCCGATGAGGCTGTATGTGTATTATAATATGTATAATATATAGTATATGCACGTATTCATTATATGTACATATTATATTATTACAATATTACAATATTCTATTATAATATATTATGCAATATTACAATATTATATTATAATATATACATATTGATACAAGTATATATCATACATATTGTATTATTTAATGTATATATATAATATGTATATAACATTATATGTATTAATATATATACATATTAATAAATGTAATGGATTATAGATACAAAATTACTTCAAGTAACAGCTAAAGTAATTAAATGTTATAATATAATATATTATTGAATTTCATCAGTTTTCAAATACAGATATTATTTGAGCAATGTCCAAGACTGGTTAAATAAGAGAAACTCTTATTGTATATGAAATTATTAGAAAATTTATTTTTCTTTTATCTAGTCTATATAATAATGTAAAAAAATTTCATAGTTAATTTGATGTCGAATATAAAGGAATAATAAGGATTAAAGGAATACTTACCAACAGAAGTTTCTTCGTTCCAAAAGGAATCATCTAAAGTGTAATCGCCTTCTGCAATGAGAAAAATAAAGAAATGATTAGTACATTTAGTATACAGTATATATAGTATACAGTATTACAGTATATATAGGGATAATATCATACTTGTAACGAAAGTGACACAACATGAAATTTACTAAGTTACTATGTATAATACTATGAGAATGAGAAACTAGACTCAAAATTCGTATTTCTTCTTTGTGCTGCTACGAATTTTATATGATTAATATCAGCTATATATAATAAAATTATAATATATATAATATTCACATTTCTATTCTTCTTTTTTCAAACGAAATTTAATATTAAACGAATCATTATCATTAAAAGTTTAATGTATTTTACAAGTATATAAACTGTTTTGTAATTATAGATGTATCTTGACTATCATAATGAACAAGTGCATCATAGATTGCAGATTTTTATTGAAAATCGTATTTTTGAGAATATAAGTAAAAAAATAAGAACCTGATGGAAAATTATATTGTTAGTTCATGTTGTAGAAAGTATTTTACTTTGAATATTTTATAGATTTTTTCATATTATGTACAATCTTGCACTTTAAAATTTCCTATAAATGCATAAAAATTCGCAATTTATTGATAAAATGTAGATTTATTTAATCTAATTTTGAAATCTCGAATTTCATTTCATTTTATTATTAATATCCTAAATTGCGAATTTTTGTTCGTTTAAAAATTTTTATCATTATAATTAAAGATACATGATAGAACTTATCTTTTTACTTATTATATATATATATATTATAATAAATAATCTACTCCGAATATTTAATTTATTCAATTATACATTTCTGTAACTTCCAGTTTTCCAAAAATGCATAAAAATTTACCACCTACCAAGTAAACTTTTAAATACAAAATATAAAATTTTAGTAATCTAACATAAATTACTAGTCATCTATAATCCAACGATACCAATTGATAAAAGCATAAGTAACCAATTGATAATAGCACAATAAAAAAGTATATAATTTTAAATCACGTCGTTTTTTTGGAATTAATAAAATAATATCTAGTTTCTTCTTATTCTTCTAAAAAACAAATTTTCTTCAAATTGTGTCACTTTATTCTTTGTAGTGCGCGATACAAGTGCACGCGTGAAAATATTTCAAGATACAAGGAGCAAGGGAAAGAGATAAATCGAATCGATGCCAGAGTTATATTCGTTCGATCGTTGAGAATTCCCAAGTCGGCCAGAGGAATCCCCTATGGCAAGCATAGCACTCGGCCTGCAACGAGAAAGCAAGTTGTACCCCAAAGGAATTTTGGATGGGTTGTCTGAGAATTTTCCACGAGGGTAGAAAGTTTCCCAACATGAAAGTTTCGAGACTGTACATGTACATGTGGGAACGTGTTACTACGAAAAGATTGCCAGACCATCGTATCACCTTGTAACTGTATTTGTCGAAAAAAAAAAAAAAAAACGCTTCCGATCAATCGAAACTATAACGATAATTAATAAAATATTGATCGTATTGCGTTTGGTTACTTTCAAGCTCGAAATCGACGTCTAATTTTTGGTTGCTAAAATCTGAATGATTTTATATGCTTGTGAAATCAATCATTCAAATATTTCTAATAAACTGCAGATTCTTATGCAAACTAATTTGTAATATTATTTAAAATAATACAATAATATGGCTTAAGAAACAGAAACTTTATAAAAATTTCTTTTATATAGAAAATCTTATAAGAAGCACTGTAATATCTTGTGCCATTCTTTTCATGCTACGTGTAATTCTACACTATCTCAAATTTTCTATAACCGCATAAAAATTCGCAACGTATTAATTACAGTAATTACTGATTTGACTTTAATCTAATTTTGGTTTCTGATCTTATTTCAGGTAACTAGCGCGACACGGAAGAAGATGCATGCTGGAATCTGGGGATATTTGGTCGCGTTCTACGTGGCTGAAGACAGCCATGCGAACAAGCAGGAAGCATGTTTAGTGAGGGATAACACGGTATATACATATACAGGTACGTAGCTTTCGGGGTAGGAGTTTTGCGGTGAGTTCAACAGTTTGCTAAATTGCTTGATCCGCTCTTAAGCAAAAACCGGAGCGCACAGCCATCCCGAAAACGAAACCGCGTTCCGCTTTATCGGGGAACTTGTTAATCTTTTTATCCAGCGAAACTTGGATACGGTATTACTGAACGTTAATACGTGAGTGAGCACGCTCTTTCTCAAAAATTTTAGGACGAGTAGAGTATTCGAATGTTCATCAGAATGTTATTGTTATTGTAAACATATTACATCATTACAAAATTACGTTTATGTGTTATTGATATGTTAATACATCATTTTAAGTTCAATTAATATTGAAGGAACTGTTCGACAAATATCGAAAGTACAGTAAAACTTTCGTTAATAGAAGAATATCTTAATATTCAAGTATTAAGATCTCTGTTTGTAAATTAGCAAACATTTTATTTTAAGAATATAATATTCGAATAATATCTTAATCTAATATGTTACTGATACATTTGGAATAATTGTATGACAGAATGTGAAATTTAGTTTCACTCTAAATTAGCTCACAGATAAACTTCAGATTTCACAGATAAATAAAATCTTAATTAGAAAAAAAATATATGTAAAAATATAAATACATATTTTATTTCATAAACAAAATATAAAATATAACTATATAAATATAAATATATTTAATTCATAAATATATTAATTCATAGACCAGCAATCACATTACTTTATCAATCAGGTTAGTGATCTATATTAATGTTATACTTTATAGACTTGTTGCGTAAGCACTTAACCTCACGCTAGTAACTGGTTGACGGACTATAACGAGTGACCAAACCTTATACAATCGGTCTTCTTTTTTAATTCATCGGTCACTGCAGAGAAATTATTAAGAAGTAATAAATTTATTATTTGTTTTGTCTGAGTTATATTTCAACATACTTAAAACTGAGAAAATATTGCAATTTTCGGTCAAATATTTTCGACGTGGCACATCATTCCAGCGCAAGAGGTTAATTCCAGTTCAGAAACAAAAATAGCACTTGTTTTAAGATTTTCGAGCGAAGGTGTATATTATATTTCAAATAGAGCCGCGCAAATACTGTTCGATCGAACATTTCGACGTTCTTCCAATTCCACGTATCCACCTTTTTTACCCTAAGAAAATAGATCTTTCACGCCGGTATTCCGCGCAAACGCAGAATCAATCGACGAATTTTTATTCTCGAGCGAAAGGAGGTTAACGTCGGATAGAAATGGTCCCGAGGAGGAGCAATATCCTTTTCTAAGAACATTTGGCGGATCGATGGAAATCCGAAAACAGCCCGTCTCGACCTAAATCTCGATAGAATTGCAAGACGATGCTGAACGCAGCATCGCAAACCATTCCGGAGCACCATTTTCCAAGTTGGGTCCCCCTCCCCCTCTCCTCTCCTCTCCTCTCCTCTCCTCTCCTCTCATAAACCGTCACGTTCCGCTGCACCTAGCAATCAGTGACGGTCACGCTTCGTCGATTTTCTCTGTATAACCATTCAGCACGTTGCACGTTTAGCACATTCGCCGAGTTGTGCTATGTCTGCGAAACGTCGCGGACCTGGCGATAAACGAACCCACCAGCTCGATGATAGATTCTTTTGCTTTTACTTTATCCTCGTCTTCTTCCACTTTGCTTTCAATTCACGTTACTCCTTTGTTTATCGTTTCGCCATCTTGCAGTGATGTTTACGAGATTTCTCATTGGATAATGTACCTTTGTATTGTTTTACACATCTTGCTTATTTCGTGTGATCATTTTAGTGTCACTCCCTGTGTTGTCGATTTCAGTGTGGAATAGAATTGTAACGGTGAACATAGAACGGATAGAATGGATCAGTTGGATTCGATTCCAGTTTGGTATCAATCGCTTTGCAACCACGGATGACATATAATAGTAAGTTTATAATGGTTGAAATTGAAACTGAATTCTAGTATAAAATTACAAATATACAAATAGCTTTTAGATGAATTTATGATACAGGAGATGTTTACGAGATTTCTCATTGAATAATGTATTTTTGTATTGTTTTACATATTTTGTTTATTTCGTGTGATCATTTTAGTGTCACTCCCTGTGTTATCGATTTCAGTGTATTGTAATGGAATAGAATTGTAATGATGAATATAGAACGGATAGAATAGATCAGTTGGATTCGATTCCAGTTTGGTATCAATCGCTTTGCAACCACGGATGACATATAATAGTAAGCGTTTATAATGGTTGAAATTGAAACTGAATTCTAGTATAAAGTTACAAATATACAAATAGCTTTTAGATGAATTTATGATACAGGAAATGTTTACGAGATTTCTCATTGAATAATGTATTTTTGTATTGTTTTACATATTTTGCTTATTTCGTGTTATCATTTTAGTGTCACTCCCTGTGTTATCGATTTCAGTGTATTGTAATGGAATAGAATTGTAATGATGAATATAGAACGGATAGAATAGATCAGTTGGATTCGATTCCAGTTTGGTATCAATCGCTTTGCAACCACGGATGACATATAATAGTAAGCGTTTATAGTGGTTGAAATTGAAATTGAACTCTAGTATAAAATTACAAATAGCTAAATAGATGAATTTATGATACAGGAGATAAATTGCTGTCAATCAAATCGACGAATATTGAAAATATAAAAATAAAATGTAGAATACTTGGTGTTGTATGTATGTTTATATGGAAGTGTAGTGAAAGTATTTTCGTTACTTAGTTTGATAATTAGATTCAATATAACTCCTGCATCTACTACTAAAACCTTTTGCACGATATTTCAGAACCTGTGAACACTAACAATAAGAGACTTACAGATTCGCATTACGTGAGAAGATTCGCTTTGAAGATGAGATTGAAAAAAAAAGAACAACAGTGTTTGCCTTTTCAATATGCGATATTTGGTCAGGGAAATCAGAATAAAAAAACAAGTTAAATTATAAAATTTGTTTCTCCTTTCATTCTCATC